GGGTGTTCCAAGTGCAGCCTCAGGGGGCCACCTGGGTGACCATGGGGACACACGTCCACCTTCTGCCCATCAGCACCGGTCAGCACCCTGGACCTGGAAGCCTGCCACTCAAGGGCGCCCTGGACCTGCAAACGGGAAATGGCCACCGTGAGCTGTGGGCACCAGGTCTGCAGAGGCGGCCTCCCTAAGGGACCGAGAAGTGGCCTCCACCCCATGGGGTCCCCCGGGTGCAGACCAAGCAGCCCCCGCCCCGCTCTCCAGATGTCGCCTGAGACCTGGGGGGTGCGAGGCCGGGCTGGGCGCGGGGGACCGAGCGCCTGCGGGGTGACTCCGGGCGGGGAGGGGCGCGGCGGTGCCCCTGCCCAGGCGACAGCTGTGACCGCGGGGAAGCCCCAGCGCTCGGTCGGCGCCCAGCAAACCGCGGGCCGCGCGCGCCCCCTGCCGGCCGCCACCGCACCTGCGCCCCGCCCGCCTCTGGAGGGACAGACCCGCAGCCCAGGGCCACCCGCTGCAGACGGCAGGCGCCACCCCACGCCTGCGGCTCCGTGTCCCAGTGTCTCCAGAGCTGCCGCGTCGGGACCCAGGGCCACCAGCTCCGCGTCCTTCCCTCCTCCGCTCCTGGACCCGCAGACGAGGCCCGGGGACCCCTCCGCATCCCTGTGTGCCCGAGCCCCAGTCCTCTGTCCCCACCCCTAGAGTCACCACCTCTAGGTCCCCTCCCCACTCCCGGGTCTCCCCCTGCACTCCTATAACCCCTCCCCCACTCACATGCCCCTCCCCCACTCTCACGCCCCTCCCCCTCCTCATTCCGATGCCCCTCCCCTTCCTGTGCCTCTCCCCCACTCCCACGCCCCTCCCCCATTTCTATGTCCCTCCCCCACTCCCACATCTCTCCCCCCACCTCCACTCCTGCAGGGTGGCAGGCCCAGGCCAGTCTGCAGGCCGCTGGGAGGGGGACCCACTGGACAGCCTCAGCCTCTCAGGAGGCCTTGGACCAAGAAGGCTGCAGATCCATTTGGATAAAAGCAAGAAAGAAAAATCCGACGCTGGACGGGGGTGAAACCTGCAGGCATAGCGCTGGGCACCGTGTGTGACTCATGGCCACTCCCCTGGAGACCACCTCCCTGCGCCCACGACGGCTCTGCAAAGCAAGGCCCAGGGCTGCCTGAGCCTATGAGCCTCCACCCCCGGTCTCCAGTGGCTGCCTCCATGGCCACGGTGAGAATGAGCTCAGGGAATTTTAATGGAACTTGGAAACGCTGCCCCTGGGAACCGGTCAACCCGGTTTTCTTGGTGGTTTCTCCGCAGATGCAGAAACGGAACCGAGGGGGCCTGGGACAAAGCTCGAGGTACCCACTTTGCCTCGCGCGGGACAGGCCCGGGGTTTGACCCCCAGCACCTCAGGAGAAAAGCACAGATGCATGCAGATACACACGCACACTCATGCACACCCACACGCAAACTCACGTGCAGTACGTGCAGAAGTGCACTCGTACACACAATGATGCACACAGGCATACACGTACACACAAGGGCAAACGGACACCTGTACACACACACACACACACACAGGCCCAGGCACAGGGAAACACACAGACCTACACAAATGCAAAAATACCTAGCGTGCACAAGAGTCCTRCAAACCCACAAACGTTTGGCCACACCTACGCCAACCCCCTCGAGCATGCACACGCGTGAGCGCATGCCAACACACACCCCGCACACATGCACATGTACAGGGCCGTGCAGAAACGAACTCACAAACACAGAAAACACACACCTCCTCCGACGCACGCTGCACGCCCACAGGCAGATGCTTGCACATGAGCGCGCAAACACGCAGGACCCGCCCCCCTGCCACACACACACACACACACACACACACACACACACACACACACC